GGCCGATTTGAAGTCCCAGTCATCAGTCAGAACTTCACAGAACGGAAGGAGCATCCGCAGGGCTTGACCTTTGACCTCAGGGTCACGATTAAGTGGGTTAAAGCGCAGGTCTAGTGTGAATCGGTGAAGGGGACGGTATGCTACGATTCTTCGGCTGAACTCCAGCAGGTCAGCGGGGAGGATGAAGTTTGAGCTGCAGGAAAGTTGAGAAAAACGTGTAGCCTTATATGCAAATATATACAGGTGAAAAAAACTGAAGTGAAGAAATCATGATGCTTCCAGAGATGTGTACTACACAATGATACAATTAGCTGGTAACATCCTATCATGCTCTGTGGCACGTATAAAAACACTGAGCAGGTCCAGTTGACTTCAATTTTGGATGAAGATAGCAAGAGGAAATGATACATGTGAGTCTGAAAGAGGGTTAATTATTTGGGCAGACTGCTCAACTGGCTGTGTTTCAACAGGAACAGTAACTAAAGTGACATCTACATTTAGGCTCTATGGGAAAGACATCAATAAATCAGGTGGGAAAAAGTGCCCACTCAATGACTGCAATTCTCCTGCATTAATGTGATATTTAAGTAAAAACAGAAGAGCAGCTGTTCTTCAGGTGAGAATGTTAATGCAGGACATGATCAGACTGTCAGCAAGAACAGTCTAACATCAAGCACATGCTGGTTTTTCCTTTAATTTTTCACCCATCTGAATATACAACTCAAATCAAAAATTAACAACACACAAAAGAAACTACATATTAGTAATATTACCAGAAATATGTAAGACTACATTATATTAGCAATATTACCTGAGGTCCAATTTGATTATGTTGCCAGGATGTTCTCCTAAAAACAGATCTGCAACCTCAATGACACTTGAAGCTGAGAGAGACAGTTCAGTTTTTTTAGCACACTAAGTTAATTTCACATTTTCCAAGACTAGTAAAAATATTAACCAGAAACTTTAACAAAATGTAACTGGATATCAAACCTGTAAACACTCAAGAGGAACCACAGATTTCAATGTTATCATTGTCCCAGATAAGTTCTTTTTACACTGCAAGAAATGACAGCAAGTAAAAATATCTTCAGTGTAGTGAAATTTACCTAGTATTTCCTATTATAAGCATAATATACCAAATAAGATTTTTAATCTTATTTCTAGACATTTTTGTTTCTTAATTTCAAGCTTTAACTTGTCTTATTTTATTTAGCAGATAATTTTGCTTCTTTCTAGAAATAAATCCTTAAAATCAACTAAATTATCTGCCAATAGAATAGATTATTTCAAGCTTGAAATTAGCAACAAAAAAAAAAAAAAAAGAAGGACATACTAGATAAATCTGACTATATTCAAGATATTTTAATTTCCTAAGATGTCATTTTTCGCAGTGTAATTAGTAATTAGGGGTGCAAATAACAAACAAACAAACAAACAATAATAATAATAATAATAATATTTTTTCAGCATTTTCGGGGGCCAAGCACACAAGACTCGGTGAGCCGCACATTCACAGACATGCTTTGTTGCCTAAACAATCACAGGAAAGCAGAGCCATAACTTTAGGCAAAGGGATTCAAGAATGATTTGTAGTTTCACTCATGATGTGTGTGTTTTGACCACGAACAGTGGTGGAATTCTCTGACTGTAGGAGGAAAGGTCTAGATGAACAAACGGGCAGCAGGGTGCCATTCCTGCAGCATTGTTCAGGCAGGTCTCAAGATGATGCGAGCCAAATTTGGTGAAGAATTTGGAGGAGGAGTAGCAAAAATGGCAGTTAGATGTAAGAATTTTTGGCATGTTATTGTAACTTTTGACCAATATGTGACGCGATCATGAAATTTGTTGCATAGCCTCTGGTCATGGTCCTGAAGATGCCTACCAAGTTGTGTGTCAGTGGGCAAAGTTGTTGCTGAGATACAGCCTCACTTCCTGTTTGGCGGCTTCGCCATCAGATTCCTTGGCCCATTATGGGCAAACTCTTTGAAGTATTAAAAATTCTTTTAATAACTTTTGTGTCACTCTGAAGATGAAGTATTCCACATTTGGTGATGATTGGAACAAATTTGTAGTAGGAGTAGCGAAAAAACTGTTTTTGACAAAATCCAAGCTGGCGGAAAATCTGATTAGGCGCAAATTAACGTCATAGAGTACATTGAACTCCCAGGGGATCCAGGGATGCCTGGCTTTTAAATTTTGGACACATGGTTCAAAAGTTATGACCATAAATGTATTTCCAAATTAGGCCAAAATATGACCTGATGGTGGTGCTAGAATGTTGGCAGCACTTGGCCCAGATATGGTCAGAATGTTCCATAGACCCTCCCAATTCAGTGTGCCAAATTTCACAACTTTTTACGAGACGGATCTACGAGCTGCCATAGACACCCTAGCCAGAAGAAGAAGCAGCTGAATAATAATAATAAGAAAGCATAGAATAACAACAGGGTGCCTATGCACTTTTAGTGCTTGGCCTCCTAATAATATTTTTTAAGTGCACTTTATTTGCCAAAGACCAAACTCTCAAAATGGAAAAAACTACTAAATCCAAAATCTATGCTACACTACTGTGTAAATAACTCAGTGTATTGAATGGCACCTAAATAAATTAAACTGTGGCAAATTTGGAGGTTTTATGATGCTTTGTACATTTTCCTATACAATCATAATCAAGTGATATCACTGGGAGGTCAGATTTTTACCCTGTTACTAAACTGATACATTTCAGACTAATTCTGTGACATATGACCATGACATATTAAATATCTTTCTTTAACTTGAGCAGGTTTAAGCTATTTTTCATATTTTTTGTACTTTCATTAAAAAACCCTAAATCCAAGTAGTTCATATATTTTGTTCGAACCCTGGTGTTGCTGGTTCCAACAAGATAAGACCAAATTGAATGAATAAGTGTAAATGGTTTAGGGATTTGAGTCTCACCAAGCCGATTCTGAGACAGAGACAGAGAGCGAAGGGAAGAAAGTTCCTTTGCAGATGCTACAAATGGAACCAGGAAGTCTTTCTTCTCTGTGCACTTCTCTAGCAGCCTACAGTCTTTCAAGGACAGCTCTAAAATCAGCAGGAAAACAACATAACTAACTACATAAGTAAGATTTATCTTTTATTATTTTTAAAGAAGTGATGTTTTGTGTTACCTTCCAAAATGGAGTTCTCTAGTAGATGAATAATCTCATGGTGACAGTCTGCCAGGTTTATGTCTTCCAACATCAGTACCTTCAGGAACGGACTGGACTCTGGAAAGGGATAACGTTTTCGTAATGTTATAAAGATGATCAGGGGAGATCACCTGGAGATCTCTTTAATTACAGTACTCTTTAATTACAGTACTCTTTAATTACAATATTCTTTAATTATAGTACCTGGAGAAGACTGAATTTAATTTAACTCTTTATAATTTAATTTAACAGGAACTACACACACAGAACAAAACAATGAACTCCTGAAATTTCAGTGTAGAGCTATGACTCACTGTGACAGGACATTAAACAAACTGCATAGCCCCACAAACGAAATAAAAATTAAGATAATAAAAACCGAGAAGAAAATCAGCAAAGAAAGGACAAGTAACTACAGTTTAGTGAAAATGCAAATCAAAAAACAAAGAATAATTTCTTATCGATTAGAGACTAAAGAAAAGAAAAAAAAAAAAATATTAATAACTCTATTAACAAAAGACACATAAAAAATTTTTATTTCAAATCTATAAGGGAACAGTTATTATCTATTTAAAAAAAGGAAAATATGTCTATTAGCAAACTACACCCAAGCAAAGAAGTAAAAATATTTGCTATTAATTAATTTTTTATAATTTACATGATACTTTTTTGTAAATAACTGATACATTTTCAAGCAGCAAAACCTGTAGTCAACCAAATTACTATTAATTATCTATTAATAGAAACATAAAATAAATAAACTACAATAAAAATATATATTTTTAATTTTTAAAAATACACATGTAGTATATTTCAGTTTTCATTGTATGTGTGTTTTTATATGCAGTACTTTTGTAATACCTGGCAATGTGTGTAGTAGGGAGCGAGCCTGCCGTATTCCTGTGACGTGAAGGCTGCTGAGATTTGGAGCGTGTTGAAGCACAGCTGGTAAACACTCTACAGTTGTTTGGTTCTCGACTGCCTTCAAGGTGAGTTTCTCAAGAGAGAGTTCTGCATCAGAAAATAACCAACAGCAATCATTTACCACCCTGTACCTGGTGTAAAGTGAATAACTTTATTTATGTAACACCTTTTAAACATTACAACACATAAAGAAGCAGCATTACGCATGTTTGGTGTGAACTGTACGCTGGATGTGGTGCTGCAGTCCCACCGCAGGCTGATATCCAGTGAGAGGGTCTGCAGTGAGGGGCAGGAAATCAGCAAGCTGGCTAAATGACCCTGAACACACATGTTACCAAGGCTCAGGTCTTTGAGGGAACAGTGTGGGTTCAGGAAAAGCTTTCTGAGAGACTCCACCAAGTCAACCACTTCCTTCTCACAAACCAGCTCTGCACACAAGTATACAATATGTATAATACAGTATGTAAATACATACAGATATACAGCATGAGGGCAACACTGATATTATAGATGTGACATTTGAACTTGCAAAGTAGCTCATTGCCTGCTCAGGCATACCATCAGTGAGACAGTGTGTATATCTGCTCATATGTCCTTACAGCAAATCTAGTATTCACAAGTAAGATAAGCTTCACGTTACAGATTTCTGTCACTTGTGTTTGTACAATGTAACACTGACTAAGCAGGATTAATCAAAAACAATCAGTGATGAAGCAGGAACTAAAAAGGTTCCTGAAAATAGACTGCTCCTGGTTCCTCCAGTGGAAACACACCTAAAGTTAAGTTCCTGCAAGAGGCACCTATTATTTCCATCTTAAATGCATCATTAACACAAACCCCATTAGATAGCTTCTGCAATTATTTAATTGAACCAAAGTTATCAGTAACACATCAGGACCCCTGGAGGACTAGTGGATTGGCCTCGGTGCTCTCACCACTGCAGCACAGGTTCGATTCCCAGCCAGGGAACAACCCCTGCTACTGGGGTTGCATAAAAACAGTGCACTCCCAGTCCCGGTCCCAAGCCCATATAATAAAAATTGGGGGGGTTGCATTGTTTATTACATATTCTTAATAAAATAATGTTGAAATGTACTTAAAAGCAGAAGGTATAAATTCAGTTAGGCCATGCAGGGGCTGTTAAAAAGTCTTCCCAAAACACAGAAACACAAAAGACATATCTGACACACTGCCTCAGAAAAAGCAGCAGATTGTTGTTTTAGCACTTACGGGTGGTGCACAGGTGAAGTGAGTGGAGACCCAGCCAGGAAGGAAGGAGGCGAGACACTGCTGTCAATGAACAAACCTCCAGGTCCACTGAGTGAATCTGTCCCTCGGGACACATCCCGTTAGCACTACATGAGGGACAGAACTTGCTGTATACTGTCTCGTCCATGAGCAGATGCAGCCGAGGGCGTTTGGATGCTGCAGGACCCTCATCAACCCAGCTACAGCCCTTACATCTGGACATAATCCATCTGAAGACATACAAATCCGGAGTCCTCTTCAGAACTAGCTTTTTAACTGAGCCGTGGTCGAGAAGACGGTGCAGAACAAAGAGGACATCTGACTTTCTGTGTCTGAGCAACACCTTGGCGTCAAGCAACCTGAGTGTCCTCACTTCCTTCTCCAGAGTGGCCAGGATGAGCCGTAGTTCCTCTGAGGCTAACCTGCGCACATCATGCATCGTGAAGAGAGAGAGAACCCGCACGTACTTGGCTGACACCGAGAGAACCGCACTATCATTCATGTCAAAAGCAGAGCTTTGTGCTTGCGACCTTCTGAACACCACCGTGTGAAAATAGCTCTCCAAGCACATCTGCTTCCAGTCTTCCTTCTCCGGCTGCAGAAACTGGAATAGACAATTTAGCATCCAATTAGTGCACACTTTCACCTTACACTTACATTCAGCGAGCACTTTATTAGGAACGTCAGTACACCTACTCATTCATGCAATTATCTAAATCAGCCAATCATGTGACAGCAGTGCAATGCATAAGATCATGCAGATACGGGCCAGCAGCTTTGAGTAATGTTCACATCAACCATCAGAATGGGGAAAAAAGATGTGATCTCGTTGACCGTGGCATGATTGTTGAGGCCAGACAGACTGGTTTGAGTATTTCTGTAACCACTGATCTCCTGGGATTTTCACACACAACAGTCTCTAGGGCTTATTCAGAATGGTGCAATAAACGGGCTACAACAGCAGATCACATCGGGTTCCACCTCTGTCAGCGAAGAACAGAAAGCTGAGGCTGCAGTGGGCGCAGGCTTAACAAAACTGGACAGCTGAAGACTAGAAAAACGTAGCCTGGTCTGATGAATCACAGATGTTCATCAGTGGCCTTCCCAGGCACCATATCTGAATCCAGCAGAACACCTTTGGGATGTGGTAGAATGGGGGATTTGCAGCATGAAAGTGCACCTGAAATATCTGCAGGAATTGTGTCATGCAATCATGTCAACATGGACCAGAATCTCATCTTGTGGAATCCATGCCACAAAGAATTGAGGCTGTTTTGAGAGCAAATTGAGGCCCGACCCAGTATTAGTATAGTGTTCCTAATAAAGTGCGAGTGTATATCTGTGTTGGATAGTCTACAGATGACTCACAGAAAGTGAGTTTAACAGTTTAAAAAAATTGCATTTGTAGGTGTTGAAACAGAATAAAATTAAATGGGCACAGACTGCTGTTACTCTTTTAGCTAAAGACTAAAAATAAAAATATTAAATGTTCTCGACTGAGTCGCTTGAATACCCATAAAAAGAACATAATCATTCAACATTCCACATGTTCGTGTTCCTGATAAGTGAGCGAAAAACAGGTGAAATCCAATTCAGTATGGTACAGCACAAAAATCTGTCCAAAACTGAATCCCAAACATAAACAAATAGGTCAGAGAAAGTTACAAAGTCGGTGTGGCACTGAACATTTCTATAATCTAGACCTGTATAAGAAAATGTCCAGTACCTTTAACTTCCAGCGCCATGTGCGATTCAGATCCCTCCATTTTGCTGCCCATGCAGATGAACATGAGACTCCTAAAATGATAATAGAATTTGTAATGTGAAAAACAACAACATTAAAAGGATATTAAATATTACGCAAGCACAACACTACAATGAATACAATAATAACAAATGATAAAATACATGCAGGAAGGTGGACTGGCTTTGCTAAATTGCCCCTGATGAGTGAATGAGTGTGTGAATGTGTATGTGCACGGTGCCCTGCTATGGACTTGTATCCCATACAGGGTGTGTCCCTGAATGAATGAATGAATGAATGAATGAATGAATGATAAAGATATATACTCTGTGAGTGCAGAGATCATGGAAACAATGCTTAATGGGATCAGTAGTTTATTCCCTTGTAAAAGACATTTAGTACACAATCTTGTATCTTTTTCTGTTTTTATACATTTTTGCTAAGGAAAAAAAACTGTTATAAGGTCATGATTCATTTCATAGCTGGTTGGTTCTGATTATATATATATATATATATATATATATATATATATATATATATATATATATATATATATATATATATATATAT